GTATAGACAATTTAGACTCAAAGGATAAGGAAAAGATTCTGCATCTTCATGGGAAGATCTGAACTATCAAATTACAAGGACATGGATGAATGAAGGATAGTCATTTATGACTATTTAAAATTTTTTTCAGTCTTTTTTTTAATTGTAAAGATACTGTACCAGAGGGGTTACAGTTACCTGAGTAAGGTAATAAGTACATTTCCTATTGAGCATTGTTGCCTCCTCCTTTGTTTTTCCCTTTCTATCCCTTCCCTCCCCACTTCTCCAACTCCTCCCTCAACCCACCCCTATGCCCCAAAGTTGTAAAGTTCTTTTTCAACATAGAGTCTTGTATGTCTCATCATTAAACATTTTTATACTTTGCCTTGTTTTTCTTTAGTATTTTCTACTGAGATCAGATTTCCCTTAATTGAATTTTGGCCGGCTTCTGCTGAGCTGCCAGACAGAATATCTAAAAAGATCATTCATTCATTACGGCTTTATTTTTCTGAATTTGCCTTTCATTCAGTTTTCCATGGGTGTAGAATTCTGTGATCATTCATGGGTATCAGCTGATTTTGGATTAATGTTGTCTGAGTTAAATTCTGTTCTAATAGATGTTTTTAAAATGGACAATTCTAGGGTTTGAACTCAGGACTTTGTAGCTTGCTAGGCAAATGTTCTACCAGTTGAGCTAAGCACCAATACCTTTTTTACTTTATTTTTCTGATAAGGTTCTCACTTTTGCCCAGAGCCAACTTTGAGCCATGATGATCCTCTCCCATAGCTGGGATTACAGGCATGTACCACTTCACTGTCCCCCTCCAATATACTTATAATGAACTATTTTACTCTCATTACTCATGAGCTTAGCTCTGGATGTAGTATAATGAATATTACAATATGGTCCAGAAATGACTTTATCAAATAAAATAATTATATTATTTTTTATCAAATTATATTATCCATTTTATCTAATAAATCATCTAGGCTTATTCATACTTGGATGACATCTATTCCCTACTTCTCTGTACTCCTGGGTACTTGAATTATCTCATTTTCAAGTCTGCCAAAAGCTATTCTTTGCAGGGGAATGGCTCTAATGTTAAGATAGTTTATGGATTAATAGACATTTGCGTTGCTTTGTACCCCAAAATGAAGATTTTATTTCAAGTTTTTTATTTGCTAGCTATTCCAGAGGAGTTGTGATGCCCCAGGTGATTGGACTGAGGTCTGTGGTCCAATGAGATTAGGCCTCTGCTCTGATTCCTTTGCAAAGCTGTTGCAAGAAAGGCTCTGTGTGTTCTTCCACTCTTACCTTACTGCAGATGCAGCTTTTGCTTTCACATTTCTAAGTTTTTTCACTGTTGTAAAACCTACCCACCCCTTTTGCATACCCCTATCTGTCCCCTGAAGAACGCAGTAGTGACACGTGGCATCTCTGTGGGAGCCCCTAAATCCTCTAGTTTTTGATTGCTATTTTTTTATTTATTCAATACTTGGGCTTGAACTCAAGGCCTGGGCATTGTTCTGAGCTTTTGTGCTCAAGGCTAGTGCTCTACCACTTGAGCCACTTGAGCTCCACTTTGGGGACTTTTGGTGGTTAAGTGGAGATAAAGAGTCTTATGGACTTTCCTCCCCTAACTGGCTTTGAACCACAATCCTCAGATCTCAGCCTCCTGAGTAGCTAGGGTTACATGTGTGAACCACCATGATATAACCTCTGTAATTCAGATTGATATATGAACACATATTAAATGTTCCTTTTGTGGCTTTTCAGGGATTTTATCATCAAAGGAAAAAATATTTTTTTTGGGGGGGTCTGGTTGTGGGGCCTGAACTCTGGGCCTGAGCACTGTCCCTCAGCTCTTCAGCTCAAGGCTAGCACTCTACCACTTGAGCCACAGTGCAACTTCCGGCTTTTTTCTTTTTGCTTATGTGGTGCTGAGGAATCGAACCCAGGGCCTCATGCATGCAAGGCAAGCGCTCTACCACTGAGCCACCTTCCCAGCCCAGGAAAAATAATTTTTATTTCATATGGACAGATGGCCTTTCCATGCCCTCACTTTCTTTTTTTTTTTTTTTTTGAAGTTTATCTTCTTTTTCTTTTTAAGCAGGATAATGCTTACATTTCTTACCAAGCATTGCAGCCTCCTCCTTTGGTTTACCCTTCACATCCCTTCCCAGCCTCCCCACTCCCCCCTAATCCCAATCCTTCTCCTTCCCCCCCCCCCCCCCCCCCCCGCACCGACATTGTAAAGCTCGTTTTGGACATGACAACTTGTACTTCTCATTGTTGCAACAGGTCCACCTGTATCCTTAAACAACTGGCTTTTCCCCATCTCCTCCACAAGTTATACAGACATCAAATATAGTGAAAGCAGGGGTTATACTGTGGGGGAGGGACATACAAAGCAACAAAGAGATAATCTTATAAATGCGTTAGAAACACATGCATGAAAGAAAAAAACATTAAAATACATATCTAAGGGTTCATTTTCCTGACATCACATTATCTGACCTTTTCCGCTTGTCTCATACATATACTAGATATTGCAAATAAGGGAAATCATGGGACCTATGTTTCTTTGGGCCTGGCTTACTTCACTTAATATAATTTTTTCCAAGTTTTTCCATTTCCTAACAAATGGGGCAATGTCATTCTTTCTGATGGAGGCATAGAATTCCATTGTGTATATATACCACATTTTCTTGATCCATTCATCTACTGAGGGGCATCTGGGTTGGTTCCATATCTTAGCTATGGTAAATAATGCTGCAATAAACATTGTTGTGCTGGTAGCTTTAGTGTGGTCTTGTTTGTAAACATTTGGGTAAATGCCCAAAAGTGGGATTGCTGGGTCATAGGGGAGTTCTATGTGAAGTCTTTTGAGGAACCTCCATACTGCTTTCCAAAGTGGTTGAACAAGTTTACATTCCCACCAACAATGAAGTAAGGTTCCTTTCTGTCCACATCCCCTCCAGCATCTGTTGTTGTTAGAGTTCTTGATTTTTGCCATTCTAACTGGGGTGAGGTGATATCTCAATGTTGTTTTGATTTGCATTTCTTTTATGGCTAGGGAGGTTGAACATTTCTTCATGTGTCTATTGGCCATCCTTCTTTCTTCTTCAGAGAAGTTTCTCTTTAAGTCTTTCACCCACTTATTTATTGCATGCCCTCACTTTCTTTGCCACCCATTAAGAAAAATAATAGACGTGTTAGTCTGGTTGAGATGCTAAGACAAGGTGCCATATACTGGGTGAGTTAAGCAACAGAAACGTCTCATAATCATGGAGAGTGGAAAATAAAGAGCAAGCTGCCAGCTAACTTAACTCTGTGATGTCTCTCTTCCTGGCTTATAGCTTTCTTTCCATTTCCTTGAATGACATTTCCTTTCTTCACAAGTGGACCACACTACACACACACACACACACACACACACACACACACACACACACACACACGCACGCATGCACACACGCACACGAAGTGAATGTGTCTAGTTTCTTTTCATAGGCAGGCACTCACCTTCATATTTTCATCTTACCCTAGTGCCTTCCAAGAGCCATCTCCAAATACGGTCATTTTAGGAGTTAGGCCTTCAATGTTAGAATTTGGGGGAGGGGCATGGTTTGGTGTATAGTAGAGAAAGATAGCATGAACCACTCTTACCTATCAAGTCATTCATCTATTGACTTATGGATTTCCACATCCAGATAATATTGATTATTCTCTGAAGATCCCTGATATACTTTGGACTCTTGATGGAGGACAGAATTTTAATTTCACCAACATATATACATATAGATACATATATAATTTCATCATTTGAAGATGATGATTCTTTGTAGTTGTAAAGAGAGCACTGGTAGTCCATGGCATAATCTGGCAATAAAATCTACAGACTGTTTTTACTGGATACACCTAACCCACCACTTTTGTGTGTGTGTGTGTGCCAGTCCTGACGCTTGAACTTGTGGCCTAAATCCTGTCCCTGAGCCGTTTTGCTCCAGGCTATCGCTCTCCTACTTGAGCCACAGCTCCACTTCCAACATTTGGGTTGTTAAATGAAGATAAGTGTCTCAAGGACTTTCCTGCTCAGGCTGACTTCAGGTTGCGATGCTCAGATCTCAGCCATCTGAGTAGTCAGGATTGTGGACATAAGACACAGATGCTAGCCAACCACTTTTAATAAGCAAGGGACTGGATCACAGTGTAAGATAGTGTGTTTTTGAAAACTAATGAAGATAATACCATTGACTATTTTCTCCTATAATTGCTGGACAGAATGAAGAGAGAAAAGGATGAGTTTTGGGATTTGAAATTTCAGGTGAAGTACAGCATAAAGGATTCATTTCTCTTTGTGTTCTGAAGGAGCTTCTGTCATATTTTCTAGAAACATCTGCATTGCCGTCCTTCCCTGAGTTCTTTCCCATTGCCAGGTGTGTATTTCTTTTTCTTCACTGTGCTTACTGCCACATTCTACCTCATTAAATATTGAGCAAATGTGTTGTATTTATCTTCCATATAAATTTGGAGAGAAACAATAAATGGGAGCTGGAAGCAGCAAAATGGGAAGGGTCATAGTGAGTTTGATTCCTTGCTGACTCCTTTGGTTTTTGAGTCCTTATACAGCCCGAGTAAACTTCCTAGTTAATTTTATGAACCCCCATATTGTATACAAAGTAGCAGGCAAAATACTAGTCCTATCAAAAGTTGGTTCATTAAATATTGTTTTCAAAAGAATTGGTACTCATAAATTGAAACACTAAATTTGATGACAAAATGTTTACATGAGATTTATTCCTTTACCCCCAGAAAGTTCACATATAACGTTTTTTTGTTTTGTTGTCCTTGTATTTTAATTAAGACGGAACTCTTAGAGGGTTCTACATGCCCTTCATTTTCTGGTGATCTTTATCATAATTAAGATTATAGGTTAGGGAAGACTATATTGGTTTTCCCTTCATTTGGTTCCATTTTGGGAGGGACAGTGTGGTATTTGTATAACTTCTGAGTGTTAATCAGACTCTTCAGACTGCTGTTGATCTCTTGCATAACTCGAGGAAGAAGTTATATTCATATCTTTGTTGGAAGCTGAGCAAGCTGGGCTATTTTTCTGAATTTCTTGGTCAGATTCCATGCTGCTCAGACAGGCTAGATATGTGCTTTGGCTGCAAGAAGGTTGATGGTCTGACCTGGTGTCATCTGACATCAGATCTGCAGATTTCATGTCCTCTTGTTGGCTCAGTTTTGTCTGGGTACTGTGTGCATATACAGCTTGACTTACAGCTCTGGATCCAGTGCCTTTTTGGTCTTGATACTCACTGACTTGAGACAGAACGTTTTGTGATTGGCAGCCCAGGTTTTGCTGGGCTGTGATGCTTTGGGTTGAAATTTGTTGGGAGAGTGCTTTCTGCCTTAGGGATTCTTGTTCCAGTAGATCTTGGCATCCCCAGTTTAGGGTATGCTGCTTTCCAAATTGCCATTCTTGTGCTTTCCAGTCTTTGTTTCTCCAGCCTTGACTTCTCCAGTCTTGGATTTTCTGACCACATGAGGATGTCCAGAATGGAGATTGCTTGTCCTGGGCTTCATAGGGTGGGTAGTCAAAGCTTCCATAGCTCCAGTCTTGACAGAACGGCTTTCGAGGTTTCTCCACTGGAATTTCTGGTCTCGGTTTTTGGAACTGTCCTTCTGGGCTTTTGTCTTCTTGGGATTTCTGGTCTTCAAAATGCTGATCTTGGATTTCTTTCTTTGGAGGCTTCTCCTTATCTGCTTCCTGGTCCTCATCTTTGGGCGGTTTGTCTGGCTCCTTTACAACCTGTTGAATTTCTCCATCCTGAGATTTCTCTTTTTTGACCTGCTGGACCTGCTGATCTTCATCAACCTTCTCATCTTCAGCCTGCTTAGTTTTAACCTGATCATCAGTTTGCTGATCTGAGGGTTGGTCTGAGGTTTGGTTATATTGTGTTTGCTTATCCACGGAGTGCTTCCTTGGGAACAGCCAGGATTTGATTCTTTGGTCTAGGGATTTTCGTCTTTGAGATGACAGGTCCAAGGAATATCTCTTTTGGTATTGCAAATTTTTCCTTGGTATGTCTAAGGAATATCTCTTTTGGAACTTCCTATCTTTGCTTTGGTCAAAGGAAAGTCTTCTTGGGGACTTGATGCCATGGGCTTTCTTCTCAGATTTCCATTCCTGGGTTTGTACCATGACTTCTGTTAGAATGTTTTGATATATTATTTCTGAAAGTGATTCATCTTCTGACTGATCCAGGTCTAGCTTGAGTGGTATATCGTGTGATGATGTGTCTTGGTATGAAATGTCCTTTGGAACATCCTGACATGGTGTTTCTTGAGCTAGACTGTATTGGGATGGTGTTTGTTGGGACGGTATGTCTTCAGCTGGTTCATCTTGGGATGGTTCATCTTTGGGTGCAATGTCTTGGGGTAGTTCATCGTGGAATGGGATTTCTTGGGGTGGTTCATTTTGAGATGATTCATCTTTGGATGGTTCAGCTCGAGATGGTTCATTTTCTTGGGGTGGTTCATTTTGGGATGGTTCATCTTGAGGTGGTTTATCTTGGGATGGTCCATCTTGAGGTGGTTCATCTTGAGGTGGTTCTTCTTGAGGTGGTTCTTCTTGAGGTGGCTCATCTTGGGGTGGCTCTTCTTGAGGTGGTTCTTCTTGGGGTGGTTCTTCTTGGGGTGGTTCTTCTTGAGGTGGTTCTTCTTGAGGTGGTTCTTCTTGACGTGGTGGTTCTTGACGTGGTGGTTCTTGAGGTGGTGGTTCTTGACGTGGTTTTTCTTGACGTGGTGGTTCTTGATGTGGTTTTTCTTGACGTGGTTTTTCTTGACGTGGTTTTTCTTGAGGTGGTTTTCCTTGACGTGGTGGTTCTTGACGTGGTGGTTCTTGACGTGGTGGTTCTTGAGGTAATTTTTCTTGACGTGGTGGTTCTTGACGTGGTGGTTCTTGACGTGGTGGTTCTTGACGTGGTGTTTCTTGAGGTGGTTTTTCTTGACGTGGTGGTTCTTGACGTGGTGGTTCTTGACGTGGTGTTTCTTGAGGTGGTTTTTCTTGACGTGGTGGTTCTTGACGTGGTGGTTCTTGACGTGGTGGTTCTTGAGGTAGTTTTTCTTGAGGTGGTGGTTCTTGATGTGGTTTTTCTTGACGTGGTTTTTCTTGACGTGGTTTTTCTTGAGGTGGTGGTTCTTGAGGTGGTGGTTCTTGACGTGGTGGTTCTTGAGGTAGTTTTTCTTGACGTGGTGGTTCTTGACGTGGTGGTTCTTGACGTGGTGGTTCTTGAGGTAGTTTTTCTTGACGTGGTGGTTCTTGAGGTGGTGGTTCTTGACGTGGTGGTTCTTGAGGTAGTTTTTCTTGACGTGGTGGTTCTTGACGTGGTGGTTCTTGACGTGGTGGTTCTTGACGTGGTTTTTCTTGACGTGGTTTTTCTTGACGTGGTTTTTCTTGAGGTGGTTTTACTTGAGGTGGTGGTTCTTGACGTGGTGGTTCTTGACGTGGTGGTTCTTGAGGTGGTTCTTCTTGTGGTTTTTCTTGAGGTGGTTCTTCTTGAGGTGGTTCTTCTTGAGGTGGTGGTTCTTGAGGTGGTTCTTCTTGAGGTGGTTCTTCTTGAGGTGGTTCTACTTGAGGTGGTGGTTCTTGAGGTGGTGGTTCTTGAGGTGGTTCTTCTTGAGATGGTTCTACTTGAGGTGGTTCTACTTGAGGTGGTTCTTCTTGGGGTGGCTTATCTTGAGGTGGCTCATCTTGGGGTGGTTCATCTTGGGGTGGCTCTTTTTGGGGTGGTTCCTCCTTTGGTGGTTCCTCCTTTGGTGGTTCTTCCTGCAGTGGTTCCTCCTTTGGTGATTCTTCCTGCGGTGGTTCCCCCTTTGGTGGTTCTTCCTGCGGTGGTTCCTCCTGCGGTGGTTCCTCCTGCGGTGGTTCCTCCTGCGGTGGTTCCTCCTGAGGTGGTTCCTCCAGAGAGGGCAAGTCTTCAGTTGTCATATCACTTGACGGTATGAGATGGGATGATGAAAGTTCAGACTGCAAGACTTGTGTTGATAGGGATTGTGAGAGTGGAAGTTCAGATGGCAAGTCACTGGGCAATGAATCTGCGAGCCCTTGGAGTAGTGAGTCCAGGTCCGGAAGCTGGTCTTGTGTTTCAGAGGGTTGTACTAGAGTAGATTCTAAATCATTTATGTGTTCACTTACAGAGCCTTTCAGAGAATGTGTAGTGCTTTCTGAGGACCTTGCCTCTAATGTGGGTTCTGGCTCAATTTCTTCCTGTGATGACTTGGATGGTAGAGGTATACTTTCCTGTTGCTCTTCTAAAACAGAAAGTACATGGGAACTTGTCCTGTCTTCTTCACTTGGCTCTGATCTTTCTTGGGAGGGCAAAGGATTTTTTGAGACTCTCAACTTGTAGAAAGTGTAGCCTCCAAAGAAAACGGTTTGTATGTTTGAAGTACCATCAGTGTGACTGCCCTCTTGAAGCTCAAATTGTATCTGAGCATTTTCTTTGGGAGCAGGTTGTTCACCATTTTGAATAACATCTGAAGGCAAGAAAAACACAACCTGTAAAACAGGGAGAAGAGGGCATTAATGCAACAGACAGAACCATCTTTGATGAAATTTTCCTGTTGACTTCTCCAATTTTTTTTTTTTGGTAATCTTTAGTTGTGACTGTAGATAGGAACTGACATCTAGATGAGGAGTTGGAAAAAAATAATATCCGTCCTGTCATCAGTTCATTGGCATTATTGGGGACAAGTCAGTACCCCTTGGTGTCACAAATATACCATCACAAATATTTTTTCCATGCTTAATATTATAAACTTTATAAGACATTTGAAATCATCCAGTTTGTATTCAAGTATGAAGTTTTTTTTTTTTAATTCAGTCCCCTAAGGGTGCACTTTTTTCCTGGGGGTATTGCAATACCAGGTTGATGTGCATAGTGGCCGGGCAAGCTTTGATTGCATCTTCTTGCTATAAAATTCCATCTATATATATATATATATATATATATATATATATATATATAGTCATCAAATATACATATCTGCCTAATATATATGTATATATGTAGTATGTATGTGTATGATAAGAACAAATACTACACTCAAGCTTAGACAAGAAGTAATACACATGATTTATTGGTCACATAGAGGACTAAATATTAGTCATCAAAAATAATTAGATGTGAATTTTGACCTTACAGTACTCACAATTGTTGGCAGACCAATATAACAAATAATAAAAGGGGTGCTTTCAGGGAACATAGATGACCTAATTTCATTAGGGTCAGGATTTGAATTTTAATCTATGAATATTAACAGGTAATAGGAATGTTTTAGGCAAAGATGAGGTAAGACAGACAATTCATATAGCGAGACAATGGAAACAGTTATGAAAGGATAGGGTTGTGACATAACATAGTATGATAACATCGCAGTTAGATATTGTTATAGGGTATGATTGGCTAGGGGATTGGGATTTGCCTTTAGACTCAACAGAAGGTTATTGATTTTTATATATAAAGCTAATAGTATCTGACACAAACGTTAGTGAGTCCTAGTCTTTCTAAAAATAAGGATCTGTCAAAATATTGTTATTATAAAAGCTTCTATACAAAGAGTTACAGTTAGATAAATCAGGTAATGAGTATGTTTCTTTTTGGACAATGTCACCCTTCTCTTGCTCTCTCCCATCCCCACCCACAAGTTGCACAGTTCACTTTCAACATAGTGTCCAGTGAACACCACTGCTACATTTGTTCACCATTTGTCCTTCCATTTCAGTGCCTCTCTTACCCTTCCCAAAGACAGATAAGTGAACAAGCAAGACAAAGATAAGAGAAAAGGTAGACAGCAACAAAGAAAAAACCTCTTGTTTCCATTTCCTGGAGTTCATTTAAATACTATTATTTTGTATGATCAGATGCTGCACATAGGCATTGCTTCTGCATTCCTCCCTTAAGAGTATTTTTGTTTGGTCTCTCCTTTGTGTGAGTGCTTAGAGTCTTGTATAGTTTATCATGTAGCAGTGTATTTTAAATCTAGCTTCCATATATGAAAGAAAACATATTGTCTGTCTCTCTGAGCTTGGCTTGCCTCACTGAACATGATTTGTTCTAGATCCATCCATTTTCCTGCAAATGCCTTATTATTATTCTTAATAATGGCTGTGTAAAATTCCATTGTGTATAGGTGCACAATTTTTGGATCCAGTCATCTATTGTAGGCATCTGGGGTTTCCACACTTGGCTATTGTGATAGTGAAGCAATGAGCATGGAATATGCAAGTGGCTTTATGGTATCCTGGTTTGTGATGTTCTGGGTAGATGCCCAGGAATGGTATGGCTGTGTTGTAGGGGAGATCTAGGTTTAGTTGTCTAGAGTGGCTGTACTAGTTTACATTCCCACCAGCAGTGCCTGTAGGGTTCTTTTTTCCCCACATCCCTGCCAACATTTTCTGCTGTCCGATTGCATGGTGATGTCCAATCTAATGGGGTGAGATGGGAATCTCAGAGTTGTTTTGCTTTGCATTTACTTTATGGCCAGGGTTGATGAGCATTTACTCATGCATTTCTTTGCCATTCTTACCTCCTCTTCTGAGACAGTCTTTTCTTAGCTCCTTTGCCCATTTGGTGATTTGTTTATTAGTTTGGGAGGGGTTAGTTTCTTGAACTCCTTGTATATTTTAGATGTTAGGTTTTTGTTGGATGTATTGCTGGTAAAGATCTTTTCCTAGCCTGTTGAGCCTGCTGATTTTTAATCAGTGTGTGCCATTTCTGAAGTTCTTTACAGAGTAGGAAGAGACTATCTGTTCTATTTTACATAGTTTGTATTCAGTGAATTAATTATGCTCATCTAGTTGGTAATAGGACTAGCCCAAATCCACACATTCTTGTATTATATACATTGCCATTCTCCACCCTCTTTGTTTTCTACGCCATCTGTTTTCATCCATTAGAGCACTAGTTATGTGGGGACAAGTGGCACTTTGAAGAGAGTTTTGTATTTTTCACTTATCTCTAGGCTTTTTTCATTGGCATTACCTTACTCATTTGCTCCAAGAGAGCTTTGGAGGCATGGATTATAATTTATCACTTATTCCAGCTATTAGGTGCCATTGTTTAAAAATCACTCATCCTTACTGCTGACTGTCTTCCAACAGAGGGGACTGAGATTTTGAGATGTAACGCGGCCACCCCAATGAGAACAGTGTCATAGACCTGTAGACTATGAAGCTAGAGAGCCACAGTAGAATCCTATGTCCTGTGTTTTCCTGTCTAACTTAATATTTCTTTCATCAAACACTTAATTAACCAGTTCAGTCACTCCCTCAGTAGAGAGGTGATGACTGAAGATCATATGAAATAAAAGCTGAGGACATTATTTAACCTTAGATCATTCCTTCTTATGTAATATAAGGATATTATATTAGTGCTTGGTGATGATAATAATGACTGACTCAGTATGCAATTGGTAGATACAAACTGTAATGATTATAAATGGCACTTAGTATTACCTCATATTTTTTTCTACTTCCTCTCTAGGAGGAGGAAATAGGAAGAGGAAGTAAGAAAAGTATGTCTCACGTACCCTTCTGACCCAGATGTAAGCTCCACATGTCACAGTAATTTGGATTCCTATTAAGTCTGATTTTTTTTATGTTTTGTCATGGAGCTAAAGACTTGTGCATGAACAGTAGACAGTAAGAACGGAAAGCATAGTTGTCCCATAGGGCTGTGGGGACCTTCAATCTTAAGCTTGTCCTGCTCTGGCCTTCTTGTATTTAGAAGTTTCAGTTCAACACCTGAGCATCCTCCTCCACCCACTTGGAGACTGGAAGCTACTTGGGATAATCTCATAGGGATCAGTTCTCATTTGAACGCACCTTATTTGAATGTGTCCAGCATTTGCTTCTGAAGGATGCGATAGTTACAGAGATGCCGAACTCTGCTATGCTGATGATTAATAAGATTGACAAAGCTCCCTGCAAGTAAGGAAGGAAAGTAAACAGCATTTGGAAACAAACCAGTGTCACTTTAGAGATAGTACCTTATACTTCATGACCAAGTTTGGCATTAGATATTATATAGTTTGCATATATTTCTGAGATAGCAGTAACATCCTCCAATAGCTATACCCATAGACCCAAACACCATTTTGAGTGCAACAGGAAGAAACAGTAGAGAGTATTGATACTGGTGGCACAGTGAATTGTTGCCATATGGCATCGTGATGACTTTTTCCTTCCCTTAAATTTTTTTAAAAATTTTTTTAGAGAGAGAGAGAGAGAGAGAGAGTAAGATGCAGTCATGAATACATTTCCTCTGGGGGATAGACAATATTTAATAATTATAGAGGATCATGCTTGGAACTATAGGTGAATGATTTTTATTTTGGTCCGGTTGTGGGGCCTGAATTCTGGGCCTGGGCGCTGTCCCTCAGCTCTTCAGCTCAAGGCTAGCGCTCTACCACTTGAGCAACAGCGCCACTTCCGGCTTTTTTCTTTTTGCTTATATGGTGCTGAGGAATAGGGCCTCATGCATGCAAAGCAAGCGCTCTACCACTGAGCCATCTTCCCAGCTCCCTTCCCTTAAAATTTAAATGATGTCTCTGGTGACTATGTAGACAGTGGATTGGTCTTTATGCGATATCTATAGCTCACTGTCCTAATATTTTAAGCTTAGTTTTAGCCAGAAGTTAAAACAGGCCTAGATTCTCCATGATTTTCTATGCAGGAAGACTATCCTGCAATATCCATCCAGGGAAGGCAAGAAATAACAGAATTTCATGTAGCTTTAGATTTAACTCTTTTCATATATAATTTCTTCCTGATATCTCTAATTTACATAAATAATATAATATAGAATAAGATATATTATACACACTTATATGATCAAAATATATAAGGAAATAATACACACAAAATAACTCTATATTATGTATAAATTATATATCTCACTATAATAGAGAGTAGTGGAATCCTAAACATGAATTAAATGCATATGAATTAAAATATGGTATCATGTATAAGGATAAAATTAGAATTTCATATCCAGTATTTGTTTCTAGCACTCCACAGTAACCTGAATACAATATAGAATTTGCCTCAGAACGTACGAGAAGGTCACCTGGCCCCCTTAAATGAGTGACTAAAGAAGATCTTATATTCAGTCACTGATAGCTCTTTTTTATGTCCTCCTTTATTGTGAGAACTAATTTCCCCTTGACTCTGCTTTATTCCCATCCTAGCTGGTAGAGATAGAATGGAACCCAGGACTTGCTTCGGGAACTAGAGGGAAAGGCAGGTTGAAATCTTTGATATGATTAAAAATAGTGTCATTTATTACTTCTGACACAAACAATATTGTCTGAAGTATACATCTTGGCAAAAGTACATTTTGTTTTTCTTATTGAAAAAAATTGCTAGTAATTATATAAAGTGATTTATGCCCTAAAGTTATTAGAATACCCCACTTGCTAAACATTTCTTCCATTGTATATTGGTGTTTTTTAATTTTTTTAAAACAAAATCTGGTGTCAAGGCCTGGGTGCAGTCCCAGGCTCAAGGATACCACTTGAACTCTACCACTCTACTTGCGCTGTACCCCTTGAACCACAGCTCCATTTCCAGTATTTTTGTGGTTAATTGAAGATAAGAGTCTCACAGACTTTCCTAGTGAGGCTGGCTTCAAGCCACAATCCTCAGATCTCAGCCTCTTGAGTAGCCAGGATTACAGGCATGAGCCACTAGCTCATATGTATCAACCGAGGTTGATACAACCTCGTTTATTAGAATAAAAATTAATGCACCATTGTATTATGGACAGAGTTTGAATAGGATCATACATGAGATAAAATCACTTACAACAAGAAGTGTTTTACCAAAAACGCATATTCCTTCAAGGGAAGGCATCTGGCAGAACTTGTGTTGCTGTGTAAAGCTGATAATGGTGATTATAATCCCAGCCAACGCAGCCACGGAACTGATGACATTCATGATCATGACTGATAGTCCCTGGAACATAGTTTTAACACACAATAAATTAAAATCTCCACCAAATGAGAAATCCCTTGTAAGAAATCCTTAGTGCTTTTTTCTTTGTAGATACTTCATAGGGATGAGTTGGTTCATTAGGTCAAGGTCTAGAAAGCTGAGCGAGATAAATTTTGATTCACCAAAGTTAGAAGACTAAACTACTAAATGAGCTGAGTAAGTGAGCCGGGTGCTAGTGGTTCATGCCTGTCTGTAATGCTAGTTACTCAAGAGGCTGAGATCTGAGGATTGCAGTTCAAAGCCAGCCTAGGCAGGGAAAGCCTAAAGCTGGAAGCAGAACTTGACTCAAATGGTAGAGCACTAACCTTGAGTGAAAAAGTTCAGGGACAGTACCTAGGCCCTGAGTTCATGACCCTGTACTAGGCTTGAACTTAGCCCTTGTGCTTTTGCTTGATTTTTTTTTCTCAAGGCTGCCTACCATTTGAACCACACCTCTACTTCTGGCTTTTTGCTGGTCAATTAGGCATAAGAATCTCTTAGATTTGTCTGTCTGAGCTAGCTTGAATTGCAGTCTTCAGATTTCAACCTCTTGAGCGGTTAGAATTGCAAATGGCTCAGAACCACTAGCACCTGGCTTAAAAATGTTCATTTTTAAATTTTAGCAAATCGTAACTTTTTCATAACTTGCAAGTAGTAGTATGTTGAAAGGTATCTTCACTTTGAAATCAGACTTGATTTTGAGTCCCAGTTTCATTAGAACCTTGTACTAATTACCTAATCTGTGTGTGTGTGTGTGTGTGTGTGTGTGTGTGTGTGTGTGTGTGTGTGTGTCTGTGTGTGTGTGTGTCTGTGTGTGTCTGACTGTCTGTCTGTCATGGGGCTTGAACTTGGGGCCTTGTTACTGCCCCTGAGCTCTTCTAGGCTAGTGCTCTACCACTTTGAGCTACAGAACCACTTACAGTTTTCTGGTGGTTAATTGGAAATAAGAGTCTCCAGTCTTTCTTGCTTGGGCTGGCTTTGACCTGTGATCCTCAGATCTCAGCCTCCTGAGCAGCTGGGAATACAGGTAAGAGCCACCAGTGCCTAGCTTAATCCTTTGAAATATTAGTGTCTACCTTTAAAAATGAGAAATTACATCATGTGACTTATTTCATACACATTATATACTGAATTAGTGTCACACTGCATTAGGCTCCAGAGACATCGAGATAATGAGGAAGAGGACATTCTGCCATCTTGTTACTTGTATTCATTTCCCCAGAGGAGTCACATAAAATCACTGACCTATTTGAAGATAATAAACTATTTGGATCAGCATTTAAAGGTGTTGATCTCATGTTCTAAAATGAAAGGCACGGGGCTTGGAAAGTGGTTTAGCAGTAGAGCCTAGCACGCAAGAAGCCCTGGCTTTGATTCCTCAGTACCACATACACAGAAAAAGCGGGAAGTGGCACTGTGGCTCAAGTGGTAGAGAGCTAGCCTTGAACAGGGACAGGCTCAAGGACAATGCCCAGGCCCTGAGTTCAAGCTCCAGGACCAGCAAAATAAATAAATAAATCAAATGAAAGGTATAAGATGTACAGATCACTCCATCCAATTTCTTTCCTGCATTCCCATTGTGTTGGTGTTGACTTTCTTGAGAAGATCTGCATGTATATATACATTCCTTTAAGAGAAAAGGGACATGTTATTCTCTTCTTTATACCCACTCCCAACACTGAAAAATCCTTTCTGTCTCACTTCAGCCTGTACTTACTATTCCTTTATTGATGTGTCTTTTGTGGCAAGAAATGTAGTGAATCATGTCTACAGTCTGTTCTTGGTGGAATGGCTTAGTTGGCAGGGACTTGGACATATGCTTGTGACTTAAAGCTTAATCTTTAATATGGCATATAAAAATAGAGAGAGGAAGAGTCAGCAGATGTCATCTCGCTCAATTTTCAGATTTTTGGCTCTTGCCAAGCGGTTTTTTTCCCTCACATTTGGTAAAGTACGGTCTCCAGAGAGGCGATGTTTCCAGGGTGGTTTAGGATGTGAGGCAGGCCCTGGCTGTGACTGCAGCAATCCCACCATTGGTGGAAGAGCTGTGGGGAAAAGTCAGATCTTTTGATGCCCCATTCAACATTCTTGCCCCATTTTCCATTTCATCTGTATGGTTCCTTTTGTGGGTTGGGGAGAGTTTTGCATTAACCTTAGTATATTTCTCAGCTTTGGAAAGATGGAGTCCTTTATCTTTTCCTGTTGCCTGAGAATTTCTCTATGGCATGTAACTACCTCTAGAAGAAATTGGCAGAGGACTATGAAAGCAAAGATAAAATGGCTTTGAGAGAAGACTCAGATCTCCAGGATCTTCACAAGATCAGTGTCGTTAGAAGGGAATATGAACATTTGGGTATCATTATTTCTTTTATAGCTAAGATCTTCATCTTTAACTCAGCACAGCAATGAATGGTACCCTTGGTTCAGTCCTAGACCCATGCAGCATCAATGCCCAAACTCTTTTCTCTGGGCCTTGGCAGGCCTCCCGTAAAGCCTTCATTAATATGGGGAGTCATGCCTAGGGAAGATAATTACTGGTTTCTATGCATTGATTTTGGTTAGACAGGATTTCTTTAACAGTATAGACATTTTTGGTCATGTGATTTGATTTTACGCTGAGAGGCTTTCCTGTGTGCATTTTAGAATGCCTAGAAACATCTCTGGCTTCTTTACTGCAGAGGTCAATAGCATCCCATCATCCAGTCATGACAAGCACATATGTCTTTAGACATTATTCAATACTTCCTAGGAGAAGGGACAAAATGACTACCAAGTAAGAACTACTTAGTTAGAGGGATATAAAGAATGTACCAGTTTACTTGGCCAGAATAAAAAATATCTAGCGCAAATGACAGCATCAGCAAATAAGAATGATCTAAACTGCAGATCTGATGTATTCATATTTTCTTGAGAATTTACCACAAAATTGTTTATACATTGAGATGATATAAAAGAATGAAAAGATTTTAAACGGCATAGAAATCACAAACATAACTTACCCAAATTTTATTTGATTTCCCATTGGTCATAGTGAGTAATCCTGTAACAAAGAACTGTTCGGAAGACAAGAGACAAAAGTTAACAGGTGATGAGTGGGATTACTTTTTTAGTGTCAGTTGTGGGGCTTGAACTCTGGGCCTGGATGCTGCCCTGAGCTCTTCAGCTCAATGGGAGCACTCTACCACTTGAGCCATAGTGCACTTTCAGTTTTCTGGTGGTTAATTGGAGATAGGAGTCTCACAGACTTTCCTGCCTGGGCTGGCTTTGAACCACAATCCTCAGATCTCAGCCTCCTGAGTGGCTAGGATTACAGGCCACTGGCACCTGGCAGAGTGGGATTGCCTTATGGTGCAGTCTCCATAGGATACACAAATCACCTTTGTGGGAATCTCCCAGAACGTCTTGGCCTTTCCATCCATGTATTAGCAAGAAACATAGGCATTGTCTTCCAGCAACAACTGGGGAAATAACCCCTTTGTAATGTCCAGAATATACTATCAAGATGTATGCTCCAGCAGGGATTCAATAAAAAGAGTTATTCTTGAGTTCTTGGCCTGGAAGGAGGTGGGAGGGGGCTGCATGTGTTCTGAGCAGAGGGAGGGGGCCTTTCTCAGGGAAGACCCTTTTTCAAGTTGAGAATGGGTTCTGAAGCCTTGTGTCAACTTATTTTCAGAACATACTCTAGTACCAAGCAGGGAAATGGAAAAGTCACCCAAGGTGGAAGCCCTTACTTGTATTAATGCTTCAGAGATAAGTATCTCCTCTGTGGGGTTTGCTATTTTCCTTGGGATATCTTGGGCTCATCGTGGGCTTGGAGTCTTGACATGACATGTAGAGACTGGAATTTTGGTGCTATGACCTGTTCTCAAACTCAGTTTCCTTATTTGCAAAGGAGAAAACCACGTACTTGCCTATTCTTTCAGATCAATAGCGTGGACTTCGGACCCCTCTAAGCATTGCCCAGTAGGGGTCGCTGTTATGGAAAGGAGAACAGTACCTGACCCAGAGGAGCGAAAGGTTTTGTCATGGAGGGGACTGCCTCTTTGGTTTTCTGGAGGGGCATGTATGTCACACTAGCCTTTATAGCAAAGCCTCAAAAGCTCTTACTGCACAGTACTCACAATTAATGCTCCCCAGAATGGGTATCCTGTGAGGAAAACGAGGGGGAATTTTTTGGAGAAAGTGAGGACAGATATAATTCCAAGGCTCATAATGACCAGAGCAAGCAGGATCTGGATAGCCTGTGTGGAGAAATAATGCAGAAGGTTACCAGTGCCCAAGGCCTGGAGGCTGCTGGGGCCCCAAGGCATGCTTTGTGCTTACTGCATATTTCCCTAGGTCTGAATGTCTTTCTCGCCACTATCAGCTATATTCAGAATGTGAGGAGCCTCACCCCAAATGTCTTTCCCTACTGTGTGCTTGGCTCACCCTTGTACAGCCCCTCAAATTACCAATTTATTTTGTATCATGCAAATTTGAACATCTGGCTGCCCTGGACCATAAACTTTGGGAGCAGAGACTCCAAGCTATTTGCTTTATATTTATTTCCACTTTTAGAGCACAGCATTTTAGGATTACCGTCACAGCCTGCTCCTCTTCAGTTTCTACACTAATAAAGTTGTCCTTTGGTATGCATGGGAATGCAGTGGGGTAAGAAGATTGGTTCTACCCACGACTGTGATGTTCAAGTCCTTTATGTAAAATGGCATAATTTCTCCATCCTCTCATAGTCATTTCTCATTTTTCTTTTATTTCCTCTCTTTATCTCCCTTCCATCTTTCCTTCATTCCTTTCCTTTCCCTTCTTTGCCTTTCCTTTCCTTCCCCTACTTCATCTCCATTTATCTCTCCCATATTCTTTAAGTGACTGCCAGGTTACTTATAATACTTAGGGGAATGCAAATGCTACAACAACAATTGTTGTACTGTATTTTTTAGGGAATAGTGACAAGAATAAAATAGTGGGTATACATTTGGTACAGGCATAACTTTTTTGAATGTTTTGATCCATGGTTGGCTGACTCTGTGGTTGTGGAACCTGTAGATTTGGATGGCCAATCATATATGCTTTTGAAATTAGGCTTATGTTAATTCCTAGAATATGATGAGTTTGCTGATAGATGACATTTTGATAGTGGACATTGTGTCTCATCTGCTCTCCATCTAAGCGTCTGACTAGAAATGCAAATAATCTAGTTAGCTTCTCAACATTTATATTTGCAGGAGATGGAAAATGCAATGGTCTTGTAGGGCCAGTAGTCTTTCTTGGGGCCAAATTTTTCCTCTAGCATTCTCAATCTTATCCCCAGGCCTATCCATCATAGCACCACACAAAGAATGATTTCATGGCAAGGTTAGGACTGTGTATTCAGCTCTCCTTTAGGTACATTATTGATGAAAAATTGCATATGTGTAAATAAATTTCTATCTGTGGTTTGCTATAGTGCTTTGGATATTAATATCAAAGAATGTATGATGTTTATTTTAAGTCATGCTTATGATTCAAAAAAGGTACATTGCAGGGAAAAGAAAGAGGGAGGGAATCTGTTCTTTCCCTGGAAATGATCACTTAGTGGTGTTTCTGAGGATAAAACATGAAGACAAATCTTCTTTTTCTCCCTTCCAGGATGACCCACGATTGGAGAGAACTTACCCCCAAGAGTTTTGGCTCCCCCTTTAGAATATCCAGCAGAGAGATGTGTGGTCTGTAAGGAAAGGCAGTTAACACAGTTTCATTTGGTTCTATTGTGATGACTTGGGTCCCTCTTTTCTCCTGGGATGGTGACTCCATGGTTCACTGGCGGAATTTTACTAGGAGAATATGTGAGTGAATATCGTGGCTGAAATCATGATCTCCTTTTCTACCAGTGTCACATGGAGTCCTTTGCAATGTGCCCATAGCAATTACTCCACTCCATACTAGAATCACAGAATCTCAGTCATTGAGTCATAGAATCTGAGAATTCTAGAGTGCTCCCAACCCCGTCACTTCCTGGAGAAGGAATCAGTAATCCAGAAGATCTTCAGTTTGTTTATTGACATACAGTGAACACAAGATAAAATTGATAATCATATACAAATATCAGTATAGAAGCCTATATTATATCTACACTGTATCAAATACTAACAAAAGAAACATAATATGCTGTTCAGAATTCTGTTTTCCACATTAGTTCTTTATGTTCTTATAATGTATGATTTTTGACTATTAAATCATGGAGGTAAATGGTTTCGTATAACCATACACAATATATACAGATGTTACTCCTAGCTTATGCCAAACATGAACCCCTGGAGTTCACAATTTTTATGCCTTGCTGGCATTTGGACCAATAAATCTCTGTTGTAGGGAGTTCTGTGCATCAGTGTCTCCAGCCCATGCTCATTTAGATACCAGTAGTACATACCAGTAGTACATTCCAGCCTATACTCATTTAGATACCAGTAGTACATTAGAGACTGTTCCTAACTTCTAAAAAATTATGTCCAGGGGCTGGGAAGGTGGCTCAGTGGTAGAGCGCTTGCCTTGCATGCCTGAGGCCCTGGGTTCAATTCCTCAGCACCGCATAAGCAAAAATAAAAAAGCCGGAAGTGGCACTGTGGCTCAAGTGGTAGAATGCTAGCCTTGAGCTGAAGAGCTGAGGGACAGCGCCCAGATTCAGAGTTCAGGCCCCATGACCGGATTCCAAAAAAAAAAAAAAAAATTATGCCCAAACATTGTTAAATCTTCCTTGAGGCTAAACTATTCTATTTTAGAATGACTGCTGAAGCCAGAGGCTGCACAGAATTCCCTGGTTAGTGACCAAGCATTATGACTATTTGATGACTGAGGAATTATACTATTTTGCCTAGCTTAAAATGTTTATTATTATGTTTCTGCTTTGACTTGCATTTTAGAGAGCTTGAATGGGAGTTTGGGTTGGCAAATGGCACGTATATGCATATGAACAGACACATCTACAGACATACGTACTCATTTAAAATGATGGCAAAGAGCTGCCTTCATGCAGACTATGCATGAAATACACAATTCTGTGTCAGGTATTTTATAATTCATCTAATTATATATTTTTAACCAGGTAACAAATGTCAACTTGTGCCTTTTTCTTTCTTTTCTTACTTTCAAGTTCATCAAAGATTGGGCCTTTAGTATTTCTCTCTGTAGACTCAGAACAGAAGACAAGAACTAACTTATTCCATAGAGTGGTAGAATTTCATAGTCTTTATAGAACAGCTACAAGTAGATGGAAACTTTTTAAGTAGAAATGATATTTTATCTTGGTATTCTACTTCAAACTGCAGTAGTCTAACCTTACTTGAGTTTAAAAGTTTGACAGGTAACCAACAGTTAGGATGAGCCAAGAACTCCTCAAAAATACAATGATATATATTTCCTCTCTAAATGTATCCTTCTATATGTGCTACCTAGTACCCTCCCAACAGCTTTTGGAAAGCAGGTTCTATCATTCATACCTATTTTAACGAGGAAATTGAGAATCACCATTACTGCTGGTAAGTGGTGGAGCTAACGTGTAAATATGGCTCAGAGTTGAGCTTTTCATTTTTCAGATTCTAGGCAATAACCTGATATCTTTCAGTTTATCTGCATAACTAATTATACAAATTCAATGGCTTAAACAACCCATAGTTTTATGTACTAATTTTTATGGGCTGAGTCACAGCTTAGCAGGGTATGTCTGCTCATGATCTCAGATAGCTGAAATCAAGATATTGGCCATACTGTACTTTCACTTGAAGGCTTAACTGGGAGAAAACCTAATTCTAGGCATATTCAGGTTGCTACCAGAATAAGAGAAAATCTTATTTCATTCTGACTGTGTGACTAATGGCCCTGGCTTTTGTAGACTGGGCATTGACAGATCTAGGAGATGTTCTCAGTTCTTTCTCAACATGCTTGCTTATTTCTTCTGACCAGTGAGGATAAACGTACTTGAATTGTCTAGGTAAGAGAACTGATGGGAGAGCTTGTGATGAGGATCTGAGTATGCACGGCTCAGCATTTGGGGTTATCTTTTGGCAATACTGGAGGTTTCTTTTTAAAGTCAAAAGTCAGAACTCAGGGTTCTAACATATATATATTTATCTAGATACCTATCCAGTATTACTAAATATCAGACGTATCTTCTTGGACTTGATTAAAACTATACTTTCTTGCCATGAGTTCATTAAATCTTGTTGTGATTCTTCCTTGATTAGTTTCTCACTGAATGACACAATGAAGCAAAGAAAGGACTCAGGAATGACTCCTAAATGTCTGTCTTGAGAAACTGAGTAGATGGTCACCCATCTACTGATAGAGGCTGGAGGCTGATGCATCTTTTCAACACTTTGGTAGCCAAGATGCTCTTTGAATTAATAAGAATAAAATCATAAAACAAAATGGGAAGTTAAGAAATAGGCTCTGGATAACATCTAATTTTATTTGTATTGCTTAGCTTAAGGGAAGAAAAGAAATCTCCAAGGTTCTTTAATCTTTGTTAAAAATGAGCACATTCTGATTTGTGCAGATGGTCCAATAGAAGCTGAAAACCTCAGAAGGGAGTAGTGAGTACTGATACATCTTTTGGACTTATATATTAGATATACAATAAAGGTATACATAGAATACATTGTGTGTAAAATGGTGGTGGGTACTATGGGAAAAATGCAGTGAAGGGAGGGGGTGGCAGTTTTGTATAGGTTGGTGGGGAAAATTCTTACTGTGACTGAGATGTTTGAAGAAAAGACTTGAAAGAAATAAGAAAGCAAATAATGGAAACATTTGCAAGAAACACATTCCAGACGGAGGGACCTAAAAAAATAAAACTCCTCCAGAAAGACTGTTGTGTTCTAGAAAAAAGACAATGAAGGCAGAGTAGAAGAAGCAAAGGGGAAAGTAGTGAGAGTGAAGATGAGAGAAGAAATGAGGAGTCAGATCTCATATGGACATTTGAGGATGTTGGCTTTTATTTGGAATGAAAAGAAAAGGATTTGGTGAAAGAAAGACCTTACCTGATTAATGAAAAGTCCTGCTGCATACCACGTGGAGAACAGGCTGAGTAGTGTTGCCCATTGGTTTATCATTGCGCTGGTGTCAGTGAGGTGCTGGATCAGAGTACTAGTGAAGTGGGGAGGAGTCATCGGACTCTAGATCAGCTTGTAGTGATAGGTTACGTGTGAACGCAGAAAGAAATAGAATCAAGGATAACTCCAGGGTTGGGGGGGTGGGGAAGTGATTTTTTTTAAGTGGACCTGACTGTGAAAAGAGAGATGAGAGGACTTAAAAAGCTAGACATGAACAAGAGATCAAAGACTACTGGCTTTGTTTTCCAAAGTGTTGTGTTCAATTGTAATAAAGAAATGAGAGAACATAGATTACAAATATACAACATGAGCATCCAGATCAAAAAAGAACATTACCAGAGACCCTTCCAACAACTATGCTCCAAATTAACCACTACGCGCTTCTTAACACTATATGTTAATTTTGCTTGCATTTATATATTATGTACATAGAATCATGGGCATTTGCTAATTTTTACATAGATTTTTCTCTTAAATAATTGTCATGGGATTGATTTATATGTCTGCATGTAGTTTGCTGTTTGTTCTGTGTTGCTGAATGATACTGTACTGTTTGAACATACCAGTATTTGTCCTGTGTTTATAGACATCCAGGTAATATTCATTTGGAGTCTGTTGTATTACTATGACCACTTTTGTATATTTGGGCTACTTGTGTAGACATTTCTGTTGGGATGGGACCCAATGACTAGACCCAGGGAATAATATTACGAGCTATATTGTTTAGGTCATGTTCATTTCTATGCTACAGTAATTGATATTCTTAGCATGTCCTATGTCTTATTTCTAGCACTTTAATGAGTGTATTTGTAGGATTTACTATTAACTTTGAATACAACTATTTAAGAATAGAGTCATCAAATAAGTGAATCATATTTTCAATGAATTTTTAAGAAGTTTATACAATCTCTGATATCTAATTTAAGCATTATGAGTACAAAAATAAAACAGAAATAGGTCCTGCATAGCCACATGGCCTAACTAATTCCTATGAGCAGAAGAGTTTACATTTTCCTTCGAATATACTTTTTCCTTCGAATATATAGAGCTAGATGAAACGTTTTATGCTTAGCTTCCACACAGAAGTTTATCAAGTTATTTATACCAGTTTAGTGACCTGGGCCTTGGAAAAATTATTTTTCAGGAGAAACTAAAAAAAACTTGTAAGGAAAATAACAAAAAACTTTTAAAAGTTTATTTCTATATCCAAAATGAATGAGATTATAGAAGTCTAGTCACACTTTGCCATTTGCACCAGGTTTTCTTCTGAATTGAGGGTAACTTGTATCCACAACGAACTCTTATTGACTTGTTAGATTTGCTCATGTGACTGAGGTAAGGATAATGTACTCTAGAAAAAATAAAATGTGTAAGTACCTATTGTGATTTGTATATGAAATGATTCCTCCCCCTGCCCCACGCCCCCAGCTCTCATGTGTTAAAAGCTTGGTCTTTAGCTGGTAGATTGGACAATCAGAGTGTGACCTCTATAATGAATTAACCCACTGATGAGTTCATAGCTGAGTATGTTATTAGGATATGAAGATGGTTGGAGGAAATAGGTCACTGATGGTAGTGTGCCTCTGAAAGATAAATCTTGTCTCTGGCTTTTTGTTCTCTCTGCTTCCTGGCCACCATGACGTGATTGGCTTCCCTCTGCCATAGACTTCCATCATGATGTTTTTACCTTGTCACAGGTCTCAATAGCACTGGAGATGGCCATCCCTCTGGAACTATGCACCTAAGTAAATCTTTCCTTGTTTAAGTTGACTTTCTCAAGTATTTTGTAAATGACAGGGAAACTGACTAACAGTAACTTTTAATATTTGATTTGAGGAAGTTTTAAAAATTATTTATTTATAATTTATCCCAATTGTGTATAGTAGTAGTTCTTCTAACTTTAGCATAATAATATTAATTCAGTGATAATCTATAGCCTAGTAATAATTTTGCTATTTTCTGATAGGATCATCATTAGAATTATAATTTGCACAAACTCAGTACAATGTTTCTTTTATTAACTATAGATTTTAAGAGAAATGAGAGCATTTAAAAATGATAAGGTCATAATCTAAGAGGAGCCAAACACTGGTTGCTCAAAACTACAATCCTAGCTACTCAAGAAGCTGAGATCTGAGAAACATTTTTGAAATCAGCCTGTGCAGGAAAGTCCATGAAATTCTTTATCTCCAACTAACTAGCCAAAGGTCAGAAATGGAGCTGTGACTCAAGTGTTAGAGTTCTAGTTTTGAACCAGAAAGCTAAGGGACAGTACCAGGGCCCTGAGTTCAAGCTCCAGTATACACAAACACACACACTCTCTCTTTCTCTCTCTCTCTCTCACACACATATACACAATGCTAAGAAGAAGTAAGCAAAAGTACTGGAAAGCATAAACTAAATAGAGAAATGCTTGTAAAATCACATTAGCAAGGAGACTTGGCTATGGAGAATCTAGGCAGGTAGTTGGCTGTGTTCATGATTAGAAGTTCTTCAGCTCAATTGTATAACTCATTCTCCATGCAATTTCATTCAAGCTGTAGTTCTTCATGAGGAATTGGGCCAGATGATTTCTAAAGCGAGCTAGCTTCATATAAAGTAATATCTAATGATCTACTTCTCTATATATACCTTGATCTCAGATGAGTAGGGAGTCCTCCTGTAGAAACCCACTTATTAAACTTTTTTATTGCACTATAAAAGTTATCTGCTACATGCTTCTCATGACCAGTTATTAATTCTTTGTGACACTGTCTGGACCTGGATGATTGTAGCTCAGACTTGGAACATAGTAAGTATCATAGAAGATTTTAGCATACTCACCTTGGTATTGCTGGAGTAGATATGTTTCCACCAAAAGACAGACGCATAGGTAGCTACCAAAAGTTCTAGCACACTGAAGACAAATATCATCAGCAGAATATACTGAAAATTGGAGAGTATCAGTGGTTAGTACCTGACACAAGTAACCTGGGAGATGAAAGCTCCTCCAACAGGGACAAGAAATGACAGGAAAAAATGTTTATTTCTCTTCTCTGATTTTTTCATATCAGAACCTTGGTGTTTCACATAATTATAGATAATTGTAATTTGCCTTTCTCTCTGGTTGCGTCCATTATTTTCCTGTTGATTTCAATGCTTTTTTTACATGCAGAATGTAGGATCTAGTTAGAGGGTGTGGATCACTGAGGGTGTGCCCTAGGAAGATAGGCCTTGTTCTGCCTGCATCCCATTTCCCCTCCCTTTGCTTCCTGGCTATCATGAGATAAACAGCCTCTTCCTCCACATACTTCCACTTCCATGATGTTTGGCTTCATCCAAGGTGATGGACCAGGGACTGAAACTTCTGAAGCTATGCATATGTGTGAAAATGGAACAATGAAGCTTGTTCAACTGGTTTGGGAAGCATGAAAGGGGGTGAGAATACCCGAGAGTGATGGAAGGGATGGGTCTGATCAAGGGACACTGTATGTGTATATGGACGTGTCAAAATGAAACCCTCTGAAAAACTAATTGATGCTGATGAACATAAATAAAAATTAGTCTGAATTAAAATAAGTACATCTTTCCCCCCTCAAGTTGTTTATGTCCCTAGCAACACAAAGCTTGACTAGCACACTTCCTTTGTTTGAAATTCCCCTATTTTATGTGTGACTTGGATACTCTGCCTGCTCAAGACTTAGTGAGCAGATAGCAAGATTTCATTCAACTCCTCAGAACATTGAGTAGCTATTTCCTCATCTTATTTTCAAATATTGGGTAAATATTCAGTCTGAGCTTCTAACTTTTTTCCAAGGAACTCAGTGTAAGTTCCTGTAGTTGTAGCAAAATGGAAACCTTTCCTAGGCATTAAGGCTTTATGACCCTCACCTTTAACACAAATATTCTTGTACAAATTACCCAAATTTCTCACCACTTACTTGATAATTTGACTTTATAATTCTTCTTAGATTCTGGAACATAGGACAATTTTTCTTTTGAAACAAGGTCTTACCATGTACCGCAGGCTGTCCTTGAACTACAGAGAGTCTTCTTTAGCCTTCCAGGTGCTAGGATTACATGTGTGAACAATGATGACCAGGCCACCTTTCCTTCTTGATTGCTTCCTTCTTTCTAGCTTCCTTTTTCTCCCCCCCAATCAATAATATATCTATGTTTATATCTACCTATCTATCCTGCATATATATGTATATAAAACAATAGATTAAAAAACTATATATATGATGTTTATTCATCTATTACATTTGTCTAGGTTATAGCTGCATTAAATGAAAAGGAGGTAACTGTTGGGATCAGATTAGTCTGCTCTGTTACAACTTAGTTATTTCAAGAAGTTCTTTTTGGATCTCCTTGTCTGAGTGGGAAGCATTTTGTTGTAATGAGATTAGATTTCATTGAAATAAACACCAATTATTCCAGTGGGAATATGACTCTCTAATACTCATTCCTTTACCTTGTCTTTTTTGTACCATGATTATACTATCTCCTGGGATTTCTCATGTTGATTTCTAACCCAATGGGCCTCTGTGCTCTCTTACTTCCTCAGTCTCCTGGATCAGAATGACTGCTTTTAGCAACTTTTAGGGCATATGGATAGACTCAGGCAGATGTGAGTGCAAAAATGCTCTTAGAATTATAAGACAGATGCACTCAGGGAGTTGAGAGATAATGCCTTTGTCTCCTCTTATCTCTGTAAATTTCTTCTTAGAGTACCACAAGTTTGTAGTATTGATAAGCTGGCTTTTATCACTAACCCTCTTTGCCAGCCTTGCTGGGTCAAAATATATTAATCATGTATTTGGACTTAATATTCAATTTTTTGTAGCATATATAGGCATGCACTAGTCTTGTTCTTATCTTCCCTCTCTTCCTTCCTTCTTCCCTTCCTCCCTTTTCCCCCTCCCCTTTTCTCTCTTTGCTTCTTTCTTTCTTTGGTTGGTTCATTCATTCTTCATTGCTAGGGATCAAATCCAGAGCCATTATTAGGCTAAACAAACACTTTCCCATTGGGCTACCCACTCTGCTTCATTTATATACTTAAATTCACTGATAATTAGAAAAATAAGCATCTCTAAGAATTAAGTTCTTCAGCTCCAGGAAAGAGCCTTAAGAGAGAGATTCTGAAGTTCAAAAATAATTTCAATAAAGAAAATGTTTCTGCCTATATTTGAAAACAATGCCTGCTTAAAAAAGGAGCATTTTGACAGTTCAACATATTGAGGTTGGAATACTTATAAGCTTATGAAAGAACACTCTGGGGATATAATTTCCATTGTCCTTTTCTGATTTGCTTCTTTTCACTGGATCTACCATATCACTCAGTCTGGTAACAGGCCTCTTCCAATCAAGAATTGTTTCTGTGTGACTTAGACATCCAGACAAATAGGAAACAGAAACTGCTGAAAAAGCAGCAATTGGGTGAAGAAGAGACATGTTGTTTTTACACGGCAGGATATTCAATCTGAAACCGCTTACTGTTATACTGACCCCAGCCAGGAGGCAGTCCTGTCTTTATGTATTGAATGATGATACTCTGAATAAGGCGATAGAGATAGATGCTCCTTTCCTGAATTACAAGGTGGAGAAGCAGTCCCCAGGGCCTCTAGGCTATAAGCAAGGAAGAAGAGGCTGCCCCAGCAATGGCAGAACTCACTGTATTTGAAGTCAGGCTTCTCATGGCCTGGAAGAGAAATTCTGCATTAGGCCATCATCACAGAATCAGTTCATGATGCTATTTTCCCTCTGTCCATTGTACAGCATACATGCTTCCTTGGATGTGTGTCTTCCTTTAGCGTCTTTTTCCTAGTGGACAGGGATTATATCTCATTCATCTTTTATCCCTCTTCACTAGATAGTCCACCATGGGATATAATTATCAATGCTTGTCCAGTATGAAAGCACATTAATAACTTCTTAGGGAGAAGGGCTTCTGGCCTCTCTCAGCTGACTCTATAGTACTGAACTCAGAGTCAGTGCACTCAGGCCACTGCAAAGAACTATTTTGATTTCAAAATCTCTGGCAATATATCTTTAGTCCTCTTTGGAAAACCCAGTATTTGAGGTTACTTTACGTGGAGGAGCAGGTTTAGAGATAGGCAGACATAAACAGGAGAAGTTGCATGCTTCAGAGGATGATTGGCTCTACTGAATATCATATAACCTTCAACAAATGGCATGCAGTTGACCTGCAGTTGATAAGTAGTGGTTGTTCAAAATGATAAACATACACCTTCAGTTTCCCTCAGTAGCAAAATGATTGGTAGAGACGTGTGGACTTAATCCCTGTGCTTTTCTCCTTCCCACTCACAAACAATAGCCAGTTTGCTCACAAACCTTGAAGACATGGTAGGAAGAAGCAGCTACAGGTTTTGTTCCTTAGCAACCTTTCCTGTTTATCTGCCACACACTTGCAAGAATGGCTTAAGGGAAAGCCTATTCTGACTCTGGAAGACACAGGGTCTGGCTAGCCATGGATGAAGACACATGGGTGGCAGAGACTGGCAAGTGCCCCTGATTGAAGTTGTAGCGAAACTCAGAAGTAGGAGTAGGTATGTGTGTGTGTGTGTGTGTGTGTGTGTGTGTGTGTGTGTGTGCGCATGCATGTGCACGGCACACACGTGCTGCTCCTGGGTGTTTTCCCTGAGCTATTTTACTCAAAGTTAGCACTCTACCACTGGAGCTACAACTCCAGTTCTGGCCATTTTGGTGGTTAATTGGAGATGAATCTTACAGATTTTCAAACCCTGATTCTCAGATCTCAGATCTCACCCTCCTGAGTAGCTAGGATTATAGGCATGAGTCACCAGGGCCCAGCTAAGGAGTAGGTTTTAAAGAATTCGTATCATTGGGTAGGGGGTCAGGACACTTGGACTTCTTTTTTATTGACAGATTTCCGTCAGTATGAACTACTGACTTTATGTTGGAGGAAGTTATTTTCTACTCTAGGATGCCATTTTTTCATTTACAAAATGTAGAAAATGAGCAGGCTGATCTCAGAAGTGGCTTCCTGACTAGCCTGCATACACAAAGGGCAAATGGACTCCAGTTTTGGTTCTGCCAGTTGGCCAACCAGAAGAACTTAGGCACTCTAATCTCTTCTGAGTGTCATTTCTCTAAATGCTAAACATGGATATTTGGAACCAGAATTCACACCAGCTGTAATCTGATGGTATGCATACTTACAAAAGGCTTGGTTGATATTTTTCCAGAGATAATTGAGAGAGATCCACTAGTTGCAAACTGCTCAGGAAAGAGAAGAATGGCCAATTCAGTTGTCTTGAAGGATGTAGTTTTATGATACTTTCAATCATTAAGCAAAAAAAAAAGTAATAATGGAAAAAATTAGGGAAATGCCACTACAGAAATGGCATGAATTCACATAGATGAAGGTTTATATTGACTTTGAAGAATAGGCAGATGCTCTGAAGGATTAGTTTTATTTTATTAGAAAGCATGAGGAACTGAGGAGCCCTGGAGAAAGACAAAAGTTATTCAGAATCCAAGGTTGAAAGAGAGGCAATTGAGGCAGACCAGTGGCTCGAAAGGGATAGATGAGACAGTGAACAGAAGCATTCAGGATTGAGGCAAGGTGCAGAAATGTATGGGCATGAAGCTCTTGTGTGGGTGGCCTAAGACTTTAAGTTGGGGGAATTAGAAACTAGCTCAGATGTTAAATTTTCATCATTAGCCCCCGAAGCCAGTGTTTGATCCTAGTGGAATCAAAGATCCTGATGTTAGAAGTAAGATATTCTGAGAAGCTGAACCATTGGTTAAGTTCGTTCTTTGGGTACTGGATAGTCACAAAGAAGATCCAGCATGAACTAACACTAGCTTTCCCTAAGGAAACATGAGTGTCTCAACTAGTGCTTCAGAGAAATCATTTATTCTACAGGGAACGGAGCAAGACCTTGCATGGTTGCATAATTTGTGCCCACATAGGTACTAAAAAGACATTAACCAGCCTAGAATATGTGCCTTTTTCCCTTTTGTTCAGGATGTTATTGGGGGAAGAAATGATCCCGGTGGAAGTTTTTCCTTACTATTCGTGAAAAGTATGCACTTAGTCCTTTTCATGATCTGTTAGATGACAGGAAGCAAGAAAGAGCTTTAGGGTTCAGGACTGCCACTCAACACACAGCAAGAATGACTCTACTTCCCTGAGTTTTATTGGTGCTAATGTAAATGTCTGCAAACTGTGGTAGCCACTAGTAGTCTCACTTGATTGTTTAAACATGGCCGTCTTGCTCTCTGCCTGACAATGGGCTCATGAAAGTCCCCAAAAAGGAAGCAAAAGATCTCCTATTTTCCATCAGGTAGCAATAATGCCAGCTCAGAAGTGCTGCTCTGATATACCCAATGCATTGACTTCCCTTCTTGCTTTTTGTTCTCTTCATTCTCTTTCTGAGATCCTTACGCAGCAGGAGGGCAGATTAAGTCTCTCTGCTGCTCTTGTGGAAGGAGAGAGGCCTGATGTAGGGTGATAACAGAGGAAAGCTTGAGGCCTTGGCCTCCTCTCTCCCCTCCTCTTGAAGACTGAGTCACCCAGGACTAAGTTCCCAGTTAGCGTTTATGAAAGCATGTTGTCTTTTAAGATCCCACGCTACTCACACACAAGGCTCCAATAAATGGGTACCCAGATACCAACATGGTGAAAGCTTCTGGGTCCAAGTGGAAGGAGCAGGAGGTTGAAACCCAAATGGCTCCCAAACCTGAAATCATCAGGCAGCACCAGATTTGGATCACCTACAGAGGACCAGAGGGAAGATTCTGGAACACACTTCTAGTGAAAGGGATTACTCAGATACATATTGAGAGTTGTAAAGAGTACCAAACAGGATTATTTCATAACTGATAAGGAAAAATGTCATATTGAAAAGGAAATATCCACAAGGAGTTAAGCTAGACATAGTTGTAAGCTAAAAAAAGTTAAGGAGAAAAGTTATATAATTTCTCATAAAAGGAAGTATATAGAACTTAATCTCTGAAAGGATGATTAAATTAGCAAATTAGGGAATGACCATACATATATTTTAATTTATAACTGGTATTTGCCAAAAAATCTTTTTTTGGGGGGAGGGGTCCAGTTGTGGGGCCTGAACTCTGGGCCTGGGCGCTGTCCCTCAGCTCTTCAGCTCAAGGCTAGCGCTCTACCACTTGAGCCACAGCGCCACTTGTGGCTTTTTTCTTTTTGCTTAACGTGGTGCTGAGGAATCGAACCCAGGGCCTCATGCATGGAAGGCAAGCGCTCTACCACTGAGCCACCTTCCCAGCCCCCAAAAATCTTTTTTTTTCAAAGGAGTTGGAGAAAAGTTATCTGTACAGTGGTCCAGTTATGTGACTATAGAGAACAAATTTACATGAACGAGGGCATTAGTTTCAATTGACATCAAACAGAACAACAGGTTTCAGTTGTTGTCATTCACCTTTATTCATTTAGTTTTAAAAAATGGGCTGGTAAGTGGCTGTGGTAAAGTGGTAAAATGCTTGCCTTGTATGCATGAAGCCCTGGATTTGATTCCTCAGTACCACATAAGCAAAAAAAGCTGGAAGTGGTGCTGTGGCCAAGTGGTGGAGCGCTAGCCTTGAACTGAAGAGCTCAGGGACAGCACCCAGGCCCAGAGTTCAGGTCCCATGACCGACCAAAAAAAAATGAATAAAATGTGCTTGTCCTAAGACTTGAACTCAGGGCCTGAGCACTGTCCCTGAGCTTCTTTGGCTCAAGGCTAGTTAAATACCACTTGGGCCGTAGGTCCACTTCTGGCTTGTGTGTGTGTGTGTGTGTGTGTGTGTGGTTAATTGGAGATAAAAGTTTCATGGACTTTCTTGCCTGGGCTGGCTTTGAACTGCCATCCTCAAACTCAGTTTCTTGGGTAGCTAGAATATAGGAGTGAGCCACTTGTGCCAAGCTCATGGTTTTTTAATAATATTCATTTTTCATCATTCTAATTGTAGTAATAATGTATATTTGTTAAAAACCTACATTCTACACACTATTAATCTTACCTTTTTTAACAAACAAAGAAAATTAGAGTTAAGGTATTATAAATCTGCACAAATGCTAACTGGAAGAATGGGAGTTTTAGCCTTATTTAAATGAGAGCTTATCTTTTTAATCACTGCTTAAAGCACATAGCTATTGAAAGATGACATACATAGACAAAATAGTCTATAAAGTTTAGAGAAGTTAGCCACTCACATAATTAATATTTATTGAATACATGTTGTGTGACAAGAATCAGGGAATGAAGCAAATGAAAATCACTATTATTGTAGAAAACCAGAAGAGTATGATGTTCAGAAAACCAAGTGAATGCAATATTCTAAGTAGGAAAGTGCAGTCAACTGAAAATCAAACAACCTTCTATTCAGGAAAATTAACAAAAGTCTCAGAAATCAGTTTGTTAATGTGTAACTAAGACAGCAAATGCTACTTGATATAGTTCAAGAAAGAATATTATTATTATTAGCCCAAGAAAGACTATTATTCAAGAGAAATTAGAAACATTGACTGGTACTCTTCAAATGAATGTTGCTATGAAGACAACTAGTGACAAATAGCTGGAGGATGCATGAAATTAAAAATATTTTTTTCTCAATGGGATAAGTTATATTAAGCTTCTGTGCTCATAGAATTCATCAAAAATGGCAGGAAGAGTAGGTAGTATTGTTGGAACAAGTTATCTGAGATGAGATCTTGTGCACAAATGGAGGGAGAGTCAACATTCAGTGATGGATGTTCTATTCTTAGTAATGGAGAGGAGAATGCATGGGCACAAATGTGGGTAAACTGGGCATGATGTAGAATTCTGTCAAAATTACTTCAGGTTCTTTAGTGTTGTAGGAAATGTATTCAATGGAAAATGAGAGCGAGGAAGATTTATTACAGATTAGAAGGCATGAAGTGTTTTTCTGGAGTGGTCGGGGAGTGAATGAAAAAAACGCATGTCCCTTTTTGGTAGCAGTAACAATCCAGTTGAGTTGATGGCCATAAATCTTAAGGCTGTGTGCGTGTGTGTGTGTGTGTGTGTGTGTGTGTGTGTGTGTGTGTTTGTGTGTATCTTACTAGACTGAGATATGGAGCAGGAAAATGGGCAAATAATTAGAATTAAATTAAAATTCAGTTTGCCTGCAGAGTGTGCTATTGGAGGAGCAGAGACGGAGGACCAGAGAGTTCATGAAAGAGCGAATTATGGGACCTCGACAGGGTAAGGAAGAAAATGAGCCTATAGAGAGGTCAGGTTCTATGACAAAGAGATATTATTGGTACTGCTTGGCCGAGATTAAAGAAAGTCAATAGAGAGTCATGGTGAGCTATCTGAGAGAGCTTAGAGGTGGTGTTTGCAGTGTGGGGTGCTGGAAACATAGAGAAATAATAGGTTTTCTGCTGTTGATAAGGTTTAGGATGTGACCTTAGGAATGTGCATCTGAGGATGAATAAACATACGTGGGGAGAAGGAAGTCCAGGGTCTGATGGAACATGACAGTGGCTACATCACTTACATGGATATTGAAACAGTATGACTTCTGGGGAAACTCTGCTAGAGGGAATGATGATGATGATGATGATTTAGGGGCCAAGGTTTAGAATGCAACGTGGCTGATGATACATGAGGATGAACTAATAAGTAGCTCACAAAGGTTTTTAAGAGGCAAAATTCAGGGCATAGGAGACACACTGAAAGATGGATCTCCAAGTATCTCGAGAAGCAAAGATGATGCTGACTTCACTTCTATGATTAGGGTGAGGGCTGATGCTTGCCCTCAGAACACAGATTTCTCTTCTGACCGTAGATTGAGATCTTTGGGAAAAAAAGAAGTTGAGGGATTGAGATTATTCTGAAGGCACAAGTAGGAAAGTTTTCAAAGGTGGGAATGAGTAGGAGTTGGGTCTTGATTAGGAGTGTCCAGAATGCATGGCAGTATAGGGCTACTTGTTGTCTTGTCCTTAATCACATAGACAAGGAGAAAAAAATGTATAGTGAGATTAAGTTAGAGTCTATCATCTAAAATATTTGAAAAAAAAAAACAAGTTCACAGAACAAAAGAAAAGGATCTGATTTAATCATACTGAATAAGAGCATATGGTTCCATTGGAAATCTCTACCAAAGTGAAATTAGAAGAGACTGATTTGTTACTTGCTTAGCATTCTGATGGAAAAGAACTTAGTGGCTCTAGTTTAAAGAAAGGCCTGAGGTACGAGAGTGTCTTCTTAGAAAGCTCCATTTCCTATCTCGGTTAGTCTGGAGTCAGCTGGAAATAAGTGAAAGATTTTCCCAGAAGCACTGAAGATGGATGGTCATGACACATTCACAGCGTATTTCCTCCATGTTCCTGTTATAAGGAGATGGACTTAACCCAAGAACCGTGGCTTCATGCTGTTGACTGTTCTGTAGGTCCTTCTCTTTGTGGTAATTGTGTACAGCCTTCTCTCTTTGGGTTTTAACGCTACCCTTTGGAGGGAAGCTGTCAGGAGCCCCCGTAGGGTTGGGAAATAGCCACATAATGCTCACCATGCTGAAAGAGGCAGTGAACAGGGTCAGTTGCCAAGGTTTGGAGCTTCCTCCCAGGCGCAGAGCTGAGGGAACTCAAGAAGGGGTGGCCTATCCATTAGGAACAAAAGCAAATGTACAGCCCTGGAAAGCTAGCATGCTTGGCACAGTCCCTCCATTGCCAACATGAAGAACGCCGTTGGGAGAATACTGCAAACATGTGGAGCAACTCGGCAATTGGAAAGTGGACAATTCCCACAGAACTTGCTCTGTACCCTGGGAACAGATCTACCTCCCTCTCCATCCTGCAGCCTCCACTTTCTACTTCCTGTCCCCCCTCTCCAGCCCCTCTTCACCTGCAGCGCATTCCCACACTGCATCTCTCAGGACTACATTTTTATGCTATATCTGCACAGCCCACTTCTTTATTCCAGTGTTTGTTTTGTTACCATTAGAAAATTGGGTAAATACTAGCCTGCTTGCTTAAATAGAGGCTACATTCTTTCCAGAATATTTCCCTTTGCTTCTATTGGCTTGATAATGTTCAATATGAACATTTATTTAACTGTTTCTGAATTCTAGACAGTAGACCATTGTAGTTCTCATCCTTATAACAATCCTGCAATGTAGTGTTACTAAATTCATTTTATACACAAGTTCAGTGGTTTTTGTTCAATAAAACAATCACCAGAAGCACCCTGGCATGTAGAATGTGTGTACTACATGAAAGCAAATATCATTATTATTAGGCTGTATTTGCATATCTGGCAAGTGTCTGAATTGGGTCTGGCTCCTGATTTTTTCTCTATACATTGAGCCTTCCTTCTCCCTTTCCTTCCTTCATATCTTGGCAGCTGCACTGTAGATGGAAGGAGTAAGCGGTCTGCTGTCCGCCAGCTTAGAACTTTGGGCCCCTGTAGTGTCGGCACAGGGCTTGCTGGAAGGCAACACAACCTTCTCCCTCCTGAAGGCCATCATTTGGTTATGGGCTTGTGATCATCTGCTGGTGCCCCAGTTCTGTTTTTGGACACTTCCTCTCAATGTTTTAGTATTGGAGGATTTACTCCAGGCTCTCAGATGGGATGCATAACATACAAAGCTTGAAAAGGACATGTAGAATCCTGTAACTAGTGGAAGAGATGTAGACGCACACTCGGATGGGAGTCCAATGCTTCATTGTTTATGGTCCTGAAGCACTGACTGCTGCTCGTGAGTTTGCATCTTTACCACTAGGGCTCAAACATGTCAACTTGACTCCTTACTGCCCTTCATAAACAGCTTCCCTAGTTCTGGATTGCTTGTTGTATTTTTCAGGTCTCATATGCATCGACAACATGGTGTGTTAGATTCTAGCCCTGTGTTAGGACCTGGAAGCCTACTGGCCACCCTGTAGCCTACCTACAACCTGACTCACAGCATGTTTTTTCATTGCTTATTTGGTTTAAAAGGGCAGAAAAGACAGCTTCAACCCAAGGAAATAAAATTAGGATAAAACAAAAAACTCCTCAGCCCTTTACAACTACCATAAAATAAGTATTGTTACATACATATTTTTTATATTCTTTTTCTCCACTTTTTCTGTCCTTTTCATGTATGCTCATGTGCATTGATAACTCCATGTAAGTAATGATCATTCTATTCATCCCATTTATATTTTTTAATTTAACATTATTGACCATCTTTATCCTTTCTTTATTGACTATTTATTGTCTTTGACTAACATAGATGATACAGCCCCTAATGCTAAATATAAACTCCAAATGGTAAATTCTGATATTTGCATATGTTTCTACTTATATGAGTCACCTGAAGCTCAGTTTCATAGAAACTGGTAGAAAGAAGGTGGTTGCTGTTGGCTGGAGGGAAAGGGAAATGAAGAGCTTCTAAATGTAGAGTTTTACTTTGGAAAAATGACGACATTCCAAAGTTGGATAGTGGTAATGGTGTTGCACAACAACATAAATATACTTAAGCCATTGAACCAAACATTTAAAATGCTAGAATTCTGTGAATTATATTTTGCCATTTTTTTTAACAAGTGGCATATTAAAAAAGTGGTGTATTCAAATGATTTCTGGATTCATTTCTGGTTTCATTTAATGAGTCACAGGCTTATAACTACTTTATTTCTTTCTACCCACCATGAAAAATAAACAATAAGACTTTTGCACTTTTATATTGGTTATTCATTCAATTATTTCCTAAGAATTGCATGCAGAAGCAGATTCACTGGATTTCAAGCCATGCTACTTAAATGTTGATACATTTGCTATTTTAAGCATAAATTCTGTATAGTCAAGAGTCTTTAAGTTTTTTTTTTTAAGATGTCTCCCAACTGATGCAAGCGCAGTAGAGAAAATGGTTAGTCCTTCCTCCCCAACAGGTGAAGACAAGCCTGGAGTAGCCCACAACCTCTCCAGACAGTCCTGCAATCACCACTGCAGGCACAAGCGGTTGCATGGAAGCCAACAGCTTTGCACATGGCAATTTCCTTGTTCTTTTGTTTTGCTATTATAAAGGTGATGTACAGAGGGGTGGCAGTTACATAAGTCAGGTAAAGAGTGCATTTCTTTTTGGACAGTATCACCCCTTCCCTTGCTCTCAGTTTTTCCTTCCCATCCCCATTCACAAATTGTATTGTTCATTCTCAACATAGCGTCCAGTGCATTCCACTGCTGCATTTGCTCACCCTTTGTCCCTCCATTTCTGCACATGGTAATTTTCTATGATGCAGACTTAGAATAGATGAATGGTGCCCTAATACCGCATTCCACCCAACGGCACAATATTTGCTCACTGTTTACTCCATGTCAGACTGAGTAGCCTACCAGGGAAATGAAGAGTGTTGTAGGAAATCCTTACTTCGTATCTTGAGGTAAGTCTAACTCTTGCAACCAGTTTTCTTATTTGGCAAGTAAGGAAACTGAGGCCAGAAAGGGAAAATGACTCACTCGACTCACTCCAGCTCAGCAGCAGAGACGGGGTGAGAATCTAGTTTCCTGACTTTCTGTTGAAAAGCACAAAATCTCCCCCAAAAGAAATGATGCAAACCTAGAGCTTACCTATTGATATAGCCCAGTTCTGTGTGTGGTGGCTGGTGGTTCAGTTAGCTCGCCTCGGGATAGCTCTCATCCAGACTTCCCACTGGCTATTCTTTCAAGGACCATTAGACTCTCACTGCTGTTCTTTCTAGACTTTATTCTTCCTTTTCCTTTCTCAGAGAGTGTTTGTGATTATGCGACAAATGGTTAAGGAAGCCTCTGCTTCCTCTTTTCTAAATTTGGAGGTCTGGGAAAATGACAGAAAATAGGAATGGCACAGGAGAGTTCATTTCCTCCATTTTGAGGTAAGTCAAGTCACTTAGTTTCTCTTAGTCTGAGTTTTCTTATCTATTAAATAGGGGACAAATAATGATTAATCTGCTCTCCAGCTGTTGGAAGAATTAAAGAGAAAGAATGTGAAGAGTCCATGCGAAGTAGACACTGAATAATGATAATGCTAATACTACTAATAATTTGAATGTAGGAGAATTCTGGAACTGAGGAATTGTTCTTCATTTACTGTAAGTGGATCTTCCTGTGCATCAATTGAATGGAATAATCATTTTTTTTTGTTGTTGTTGATCATGGGGCCTGAACTCTGGGCCTGGACGCAGTCCCTCAACTCTTCAGCTCCAGGCTAGCACTCTACCACTTGAATCACAGTGCCACTTCCAGTTTTCTGAGTGGTTAATTGGAGATAAGAGTCTCACAGACAGCTGGCTTTGAACTGTAATCCTCAGATCTCAGCCTCCTGAGTAGCTGGGATTACAGGTGTGAGCCACCAGTGCCCGGCTTGAATATCATCATTTCTAAGGACTAGGTTCCACATATAAGAGTGAACTTTCAAGACTTGTCTTTTTATTTTGCTCAGTATAATAATCTCTAGTTGCATCTATTTTCATAAACAACATAATTTCATTCCTTTTATGGCTCAATAACAATCTATTGTGCATATACACTGTGTTTTCTTTATGCATTCACTTGTTGATCTCACATTTTAGCTCTTGTGAGAGTAGTGGTTCTATAAACATGGATGTACAGACATCTTGACTATAAGTTAACTTACCATCATTTAGATAGATGCCCAAGAGTGGTATATCAGGGTCATATGGTAGTTCTATCTTTAATTTTTGTGTATGCCAGTACTGAGGTTTGAACTCAGCACTTGATGCTTTTGCATGGTGTTTTTGCTCATGGCTGGTGCTCTACCACTTAAGCTACCTCTCCGGGTTTTTTTTTGTCGGTCGTGGGGCTTGAACTCTGGGCCTGGGCACTGCCCTCAGCTCTTCAGCTCAAGGTGAGCGCTCTACCTCTTGAGCCACAGCGCCACTTCCGGTTTTCTAGTGGTTTACTGGAGATCAGAGTCTCATGGACTTTTCTGCCTGGGCTGGCTTTGAACCATGATCCTCAGATCTCAGCCTCCTGAGTAGCTAGGATTACAGGCGTAAGCCACTGGCACCCAGCTTGATAATTTAATGCAACCTCCATACTTATTTCCAGAGTGGTTATACTCCTTTCTGCCAACAGTATATTAAGGTCCCTTTAATCCCATATTCCTTACTTCAAAAAATAAGTTTGCTTCACTTCTCTCCTTCTGTCATTTGGAGGTGCGATGGAAATACGGTCTTCTGGAGAACAGAAAGTAATCACTCACCAGCACTGACTGAGCTGCCTCGCTGACCTTGGACTTCTGGCCTCCAGAACTGTGAGAAATAAAATCTCTGGTGGTTGAGCCACCCAGTCTGTGGTGTCTCGTTATAGCCACTGAGGCTGGGGGAGACAGGCCTGAAAGTACCTGGGGCCCTGCATGATCTCCATCACAGCAGGTGGCTCTTTGGCTAGAAGCTGTTGACTCTGCATCATCTTGGGATGGTTCCTCCATGGGATTGTGACCCAAGAGGGAATGTTCCCATAATAAGAAGGAAATGTATGATTGGTTACACCTCCCGTGCACATGGAGTCCTATGCTGCCCATGAGTCCTGTCTGTAATTCAATGCTTATGTCAGTTATGAAGTGTTTTAATGCACGGTGTAACACAAAGTCAGGGTTTCTATAAATGGGAGGCTTTCAAATTACAATGAACTTGCATCCATATTGCTGTGAAGATGTGGGGTACTTCTTCAAATGATCCTTTGTACCACCTCCTTTGTACCCTCCTCCTGTCTTCTACATCTCCATTATAGAGTTTATTCAGTCTGTCATAAAAATGTGTTGAGCTTGGAGCCAGAA